AATACTGATATCTACATTCAATCTCGCGCAGTGGGGATATGCGGCCTGGTATCAATTCTCATATGATTATGATAAGGGAAATCAGCCTGACCCCCTTCTTAATTATACAGATGGCGGCGAATACTGGATCCCGGCAGCTCTCTACATGTGTATGGGTTTCGCTGATTCTATTGTACAGACTTATGCGTACTGGATAATGGGAGCTATTGCCAATACACCACGTGTTCTTGCACGTTATGCCGGGTACTACAAAGGTGTGCAGTCATTCGGTGCGTGCATCTCCTGGATTCTCGAATGGCAGGGTATGCTATACAAATGGCAAATGGTCATATGCATTGTTTGGGCAGTCGCTTTCGTACCACCGACATGGATAGTAGCCACTATGGTGAAGGATCACGGAGCGGACGATGATGAGGGCGTAGACACCACAGAGAGTTCTGTAAATATACACAAGGATTAGTCACACCACTCTAGGGTTTATCATATGCAAGTAAAAAGAAATTGCATATATCGTTCACAACCGCTGGGTTTGGATACTGCCATTGTATTCAGTGCTTTATTCTCAATACAAAGCACAAGGGATGAAGTAGCTCACGTAGAGCAGGCCTGATGCTTGTCTTAATCTAATTCGGGGCTTCATCACGAGGTGTGTTGATAATGTTCAATAGTGTGCTCAAAACAAGCTAAAACTCGCGAATTTGACCTCAGACCTTGAGAAAAAAGACGCATGTCCATAGTGTGTACGCAAATACACGTGCGTGTAAACACATACACACACTCACGCATATATATATATATATACTTATATACAAGCCCACACACACGTACACAAACACGTATATATATACATATATCAATAACTACATACACACGCAAACACCCACACTTATGTATATATATATATGTACTATAAATATGAATATATATCCGTGAATATGAAGTTATGTAAACATATATATGAACATATAGATATATACATATATTAATATAGATATATCTATACATACATATATTAATATAGATACATCTATATATACATATATTAATATCTATATACACATATATGTATATATTATGAGTAAATAAATAAATAAATGTATATATATATATATGTATACATGTATAAAGAATCATACATATATAGGTACACACAACGAATACACAATAAATGGATAGTTGTATATGATTTGAAATGTGCATAAACACATAGCTATATATACATATATTAATGCAATACAAACACAAATTCCACATATTATAATATATAAATATACATATATATGTATACGTATATATATATGTGTATTTTCCATAACATCGTTCATAGATATATATATATATACATGCATACATATAAATCTATGTAGATATGTAGAAATGTTTACATTTATAGTTAGATACATTTGTTCACATGGACATGTAGATACGTATACAAACATAAAAAACACACATATACAGATATGTATAAATCTGTATATAGATATGTGTATACTTTATATTTACTTTATATGTATATATATACATACATATATATATATATATATATAAATTAACACTCACACATATATTTATATTAAATTTTTATATATAGAAGTACGTGTTTATATGCATATATACACATATACTTACATTCATATATACATATGCGGATATGTAGCTATAGAAGAACGTGCATACGAACGCGTATACGTACAGTTTATGATTAGTTGTATATACACATACACATGTATACTGATAGTATATTTAAAAAAAAACAGTTTTATATTTTTGGGTCCAAAAATATACAAATTGATATAAACAGATTAATGAATGTATACATGAGCACCTTCATACATATTTATATCTATAGACGCATTTATTGATCACATCATATCAATATCAAAAACAAATACATAATACATAGGTTCATGCACATACACACACACTCTGCCATCAAAAGCGTGGAGCAGGCAAAGGCATAGTCTATGGACGTATATTGATAAAAATATACACTCTTATTTAACTTATTTTGACATACGCATGAATAACCCATATATATTTATGTGTAAATTCGTATACTTCGAGAACTATAAGAATGTTTAAGTATGGCCTCACTACAACAAGTGAGTAGGTGTATTGAATGTATATCTCGGCATGCGTATTGCGTGATTATATATAAATGCATATATATATATATATACATACATGCATATACAAATATATATATAGAAGCATACGCACACATACACAAACAATATATATAGATACGTAAGCATAATATATATATATACATGCAAGTATAATAAATATAGATATGTAAGAATAATATATATAGATATGTAAGTATATAATATATATATATATAAAATATATTTATACATATGCATACTACACACACTTATATATTTATATATATATGTATACACATACACAAAATTTACACACATATATATTTACGTGTACACACACACGCACTCACACACATATATATACATATATGTGTATATATCTACAATATATTTATATACATACATACATACACATATATATATATATAAACATATTTATATATATAAACATATTTATATATAATATAAACACACAATACACACATGCAATTATTCATAAAAAAATAAGAAAAATAAAACTGTTGCTATCGACATACAATTGATAGAACGAATACGACACACACGCACTCACACACATATATACATATACATATGTGTATATATCTACAATATATTTATATACATACATACATATATATATATAAACATATTTATATATATATCCATATATATAAATATAAATAAATATAAACACACATATACAAACAATACACACCACATACATATATATATGTATATATATATAACAAGCACACATGCAATTATTCATAAACAAATAAGAAAAATAAAACTGTTGCTATTGACATACAATTGATAGAACGAATACGACATGGATGCCCCTATATTGGGAGTAATGTACAAATATGTACAAATATCACAATTCTGTTGATAAATGGATTCATATTCATAGGACACGATATAAATTGAACCTCGCCCCAGTCGTTTAGTTTAGGGTAGTCAGATTGCAAAAGTATATTGAATGTTTGTACAACGTATCTAACTTAACTATCCAAATAGAGCTTTAATAGTGTAGATCGTATATACATATTTTACAATATACATTAAATAGGACCATATTCAAAAGTATACGCGTATAGAAATCGAACACCAGTTCTTCGTTCTTGCACACTAAATAACTGTTAAAATCCAGTCCCACTTCAATCCGTAGTACAGATATGCTTGCTTCACTAATACATATGTAAATTATGTAAATGCTATTGTCAGCATGAATATTTGATTAAAGTATATGTATATACACTCAGCTTGTAACTATACAGAAGTTAAATGATATATAGCGCATCTTTAACAACTTAATAATGCATGAACCAAAAATTCAATAGAAATAAAGAATATACCCGTGTAGAACGAGCATATGCATATATGAAGATCGTCATATGAACTTGAATCTATATGCAAATACCGAGGTAAAATCTTAGACACTATGCACGCAATCAAATGTACAAAGTGGACGTGGTTCAAACATAGACAACGACAAAGAAATATGGGCTGACAACTTTGCATGATGCAAATACAAGATTATATCGCTACGCAACTAATAAAAGCACTGCTTCTGATCTTATAGATAACTTAATATATGCATACGCACATAATTAGGTCAAACTACATACAGTATTTTTTTAAGCTTCAAACCCAAAGAATATTCTAAATCCATATTTTATATCGTCCAATACAGACAAATCTGTGCATATACGAAATGGTACACTCTTATATACATGCTTGCAAACAGTGCTGGTGAATACTACAACGGTTAGTACTGATCGGAAGTGCTTACCATGGTGAATCTCATACGAGGAGAAGAATATCCAAGGATGTGGTCTCACAACTTGCCCCGTAGACAACAGCACGGATGGTAATTTTCTCATTGAATGGATCAAGAACTACTGTTGTGTATCGTTTTTGAGGACGCTCTACGTGTCGCACGCGTACGGGAATCGGAATGGAGCCCATCATTTTACCAACAGTGATCTTTTAGGGAAAAAAACCATAGGCACCAAAATGTTACTCAGACATGCGAAAGGAAACTGGATTGAGCCAAATAACTAAAAGAGAAGTAGTGTTTGTAGTGTGACATGTTGGTGTAGCAATGTATATACCTTTTTTATAAATCTATTATCGCATTATTCACATTTGTTTCCTAAATAATACATCCTGTAAATAGAGTGAGATGTATTTAATAATACAACCGCACTTCCACTACAAGTGAACTGAAATCTATACACATGCAGAGTAAATACTATAATACTCTTAGTTGCTAAAGTAGTAAAATACTTTTTAGTTCCCCTCTTGTTGCTGTGGGCCTTCCTCACTAGAGAGAGAGTGATATATTGATTATCGAACCCACATGATAACCACGACCCCACGCGACTCGCGAATTATTTGTGCCAAAACATAACTAAAATAAAGGAACTTTATAGGTGTTGTTGACTGTCGTATTTAGCATAGTGAATTAGTGATAGGGATAATATAAATATAAAATCTCAAAAGCTATCAATTGCAATCGACATTTTTCCCACCCAGTTTTTTCTTCATGATAGTAGAATACACATTACAAACACATCAAGTAAAATTATTTATCTTAGGAATCAGACAGGCCCAGAGCTGTATTTACAATATTTCACAGGTTATGAGTTATGACTGTTATGCGGCTCTTTCTACAATTTTGCACATGTGCTAAGAATCAAGTTTATTGTCGCACACACAGTCACACACATATATGAGTACCGAGATGGTATGCTCAAAACTTTCAAATGGCAAATTTATTGGGAATCCTACATACTACTTGTCAAATTCCACCGGGCATAGGCCGTAGGCCGCCTTATAGCCATAGGCCGCCTTAGGCGGCGGTAGCGGGTAGGCCACAGCCTACAGGTCGTAGGACGCAACGTAGGTCGTAGTCTTACGTAGAGTGAAGAGTACTATGTACAGAGTTAAGTTTTTTACTCAACCTACACTGTTACACAACGACTCCTGGCTTCCGGCAGTCCTCCCCCTTCTTCAGAAATCTGACTCGGGAGTCAGCACTCTCACTTTTGCTCCTTGATCACAAACTGTTTTTGTTTGTTATACAATAAAAATTGAAAAAAGGTAAAAATCTCCCAGCGGCCCAGCCCCCAAGCTCCATCATAAAATTTCAAAATCGACCGATGTACGAGTCGACGACTCGACGGTCGACGTGTCGTCGTTAGCCGAAGCCCGATATGTAGGCTATTTATATTTTATAGCGAGTATAGCGCCCGGCGCTGGCACCTAGCGGTGAGCGACTGGAGAAATGGAGATTGGAGCGCCGAACGGTCAACCAATAATTTGTTTTTATAAAAATCAAACAAAATTAGAAAAAAATATAAGCCTGTGGATTGACTATTTATTGGAACTATATAATGTGTAAAAATAAGATGTTTACAGTACATACATAAATATGTACTGTACATATTTAGCTAATTAGCTAAATACATAAAAAGACAGTATTCTTTTTCTTGTTTATTTAAAAAAAAACACAACCTCTCGGCGGCCAGCGCCGAGCATTATGGGCAGCCTAAGCCTCTGTTTCAGGGTAGGCCTCAAAGTCTCAGACTCCCAGGACTCAGAGGCTCAGGGCTCTCGGGAGTTTCGGCCTTGCCGAGACGCTGAGCCTGAGACAGCTGTGAGTCGCCGACTAAAATATATAAGCCCTCTCCCCCAGTTTCGTTAGTCTCGAGTTCTCAACTCTCACGGTCTCGCTTCTTCATCAGTTTCTTGAGCCGATTTCAGGTTAGGCTTCAGAGGCTCAGCCGCTCAGGGTTAGGGGCCAGGGCGTCAGGCTATCGGGCTGACGAGCTCTCGGCTCTTATCCATTTGCCGAGACGCCTAAGTCGTAAACTATATACGCCCTCTCCGCCCGTATTGCGGCTCTTGCCTCATTTATAAATATCAGCGGGAGAACTGGTGACTCTGAGTTGGGGAATGGGGACTAGCCCACGGGGGAAGGCCACAACGGCCCGGCTGTGGGGCATGTCACTGCTGTCAGTGTCAAGCCGTATTTATACTATCTGACTGTTGATGTCACTGCTGTCAGTGTCAAGCCGTATTTATACTATCTGACTGTTGTCTGAAAGTGACGTCTTTTTGATTTTGATTTTGTCGCATAGTATTTTTTTATAAAAAACAAAACAAGTTGTGTTTGACTGTTTGGTCATTAGTGTCGTGTATTTATCGACTATTTAAATAAAAAAAAGAGCCGCTCAGGCCTCGGGTAAAGCTCAGGCCACAATCACAACGGCGTCTAGACTCTGGTGTGTGGAACTGTGGACTGGTGGTACAGCAGTGGTGGGTACTGTACATATGTAATAGGGGTATGTATTTAATTATTTATGTGTAAATAAACAAATACGATACCGTGTTTTCCTTTTTTAATGCTTTAAAATAAATAAATAAATAGATAAAGAGCGTTGATATGAAACATTGTACTTTTGACGGCACATGTGATGATGTGTGATGACATTGATATGTTGTCTTTGTTTTTAGTGGTAGAAAATCAAGAATGGCTACAATGCATAGAAACCACACAAGAGCATAGCCTAAATAGTAAAAACAAACCCTAAAAGGACATAAACAAATGAACTGTCAGTTTTTTCTTCTGATGACTAGTTTTAAAAGTTACTAGTACCGTTTGCAAAGACAGTATGCAATTTTTTTCAAAAATGTACAGACTACAGGTCTATAGCTGTAGCCTGCACAGTGTACACTGTACAGGTCACTAAATACTGCTAGCCTGGTAAACGATATTAACAAACTAGTTTCGGCCCGCCGCGTTGTATTTTTTAGTTTCTGTATCATCGTATATTGGACTTCCGAATGTAATGAAGTCATAAATAAAGTCTATCAACATGGGGCAGCAATTTTATACCAGGCTAGCTATATAAGTACAGAATACTTGATACACACCCACAGCAAGCACAGGAAATAGTTATGTACTCAGTATTTACTGTACTACTGTGGCCTGAGACAGTGTGACTCCAGTGACGGTGTGACGGGTGACCTGTGATACTTGTTAGACTATAGAGCGTAAATAGTGTGTAGAGTGTAGACTGTTCTGAGTGTTCACTCACTTCACGGTAGCAATTTAGAATGTAGTCACTAGTCAGTGAGTCACTTCTTGGACAGTACGCGTCTATTTATGGAGTAGTGACTGAGAGTACAGTGTCAGTAATCAGTGTCAATTGTCAAACTGATAAATGAAAAAAAAATCGAAAAATGTACAGAGCAGAGAGCAAGATAATTCAAAGAGTACTCTAGAATGCGAGTCAAACTGAGTACCCAAAAAGGTACATATCTACTCTTCCAATCTGACATCCAAATCATATTGTCAACACTAAATCCTGAAAATAGTTAGTCTACTCTCTAAAGTAGAGAGTGCTTACAGTGCACAGCGGTGTCACATCCATATTTGTATGACTGATTCAAAAGAATAAAAATAGAAAATTACGCAATTTGAACACAATAGGCTTTGTTTTTATTTCTTTGTTTTTGTTGTATGCGGGATTTCTGGATTTCTCGAGGACATATAAAAAGGCGCCACTGTTTTCAATCTTGGCATCTTGATCTTTACTTCCGTCCACATGTCTAAAAAAGAAACATCTTCCGACGTTGCCATTGATGCATCCGACGACTATGCGGTCGCCGATGACAACAACGTTTCAGCTGCGTTTGCACGTAAGCTAGACTTTCCTCTCCCCGAAATTTTCTTGACTGGATTCACACAAAACATCGTTGCTGGTTTAGTATGCTTCTGTTGCCCGGGTATGTTCAACGCCATGCAGGGACTTGGTAATGCTGGTGGTAGTGATCCTGCTGTCTCCGCGGCAATGAATGCCGCACTTTACGGCGCATTCACCGTGTTCGGTTACTTTGGAGGACTTCTGTTCAATCTTCTCGGAAACAAGCTCTTGATGGTCCTTGGAGGCTTGACCTATTGCTTCTATGCCATCTCTGTGTACCTTTGGGGTCAAGACGAATCATTCGCCGCCATGGCTATCACAGCCTCTGCCATTCTCGGTGTTGGGGCTGGCTGTCTGTGGACTGCACAGGGAGCCATGACGCTATCA